AACCCTTTTTTCGCCAAAGACGAATCGTTGAAACCCTCTCGCAATTCTATCGCTATTTCCATGGCAAATGTTCAGACGAATTACGTTCATTAGTTTTAACAGTTTTAACTTTTATAGCTAAGAACCGCCATACCACTCCCATTGTAGCGAGCCTTCCCTCATTCCATTTATATTCTATTGGTGAGATTCAACTTTCATTCGAGCAGCTTCTTTCTCCGCACCTCTACCTTGTGGAATCGATTCCAAAGGGCATGCTTCAACGATCATTACAATAATAACCTGTTCAAGCGGAGCGCTAACCGTTAATTTCGCCTCATAAATAAATAACTCTTACTTTGTCAACCTCGAGAGTCTCTTGGGCCTTGCATCGGGTGAAACCTTTCATTCCCATATCTTATTAAGGTTTTAAGATTTGAGGAAACAATAAAAATTAAAACAAAATCAGTGATAATCGAAAAGCAATCTTACATCATTCTTTCTTTTTAAAGTTGACCTTTCTTTCATAAACTTTAAAAATCAAAACACTTGAAAGCTATCGAGTTTTTCAAAGAACCTTGGATGTATAAATATATAGTAAGATAGGAATGCGTAAAGAACTCTTTGAACTGCTAGGTAAGCTAAATTTATTTGCGAAGGTTTTTAGAATAAACCAGAATCTTAAATGGGAGCAGGACGCCTGCATGTGAATGAAAAATTTAGTAAATACACAAAAAATAAAAAGGGGCGTAAAAAATGGATGTGTCTTCTCACCGGATATATTCAACCTTTTCAGTTTAGCCGTCCTGAGAACATTAGAACCCTACCAGGATTCATTATTGTCAGCTACGATCTTAGCAACATATTATATGCAGACTAGCAGGATGGCCCGGCGTTGCCCATGCTTGAGTCAAAAATCGTACGACTCATACAGCAATCGCTATCACTTGACTTAAAATATTTTTGCCCTTCCTTGCCTTTAAAGGAGTGCCCTTTGCCGTGCTGATGTTGCTACATGCCTTACTTCTTGCCTACCTCACACTGCGAATTTTGTCTAAGGTCTATACTAAGCATTAAATCTGTTACGAAAAACAAACAACTAAACAAAATGAACACAAAACGATCAGCTTTCAAAAAGGACTCGTAACTGGAAAAACCGAATGAAAAAAGAATGTTAACAACAAATACTCCTTCACACCCAAACCATTTCTTCGGAATCAGAATCAGCGTTGAGTTTAAGCAAGCGAATGAGCCAAGTGGAGTAAAGTGCCATGCACATTTAAATTTTTCCCACTTGTGATGAATGCAGCTATAGATTTTTTTTGCATACTAGCATGCTAGTTAACATTCGTGTCTGTCAGCTGTTGGCTCTCACACTGGCCAATAGAATCTTCCTGCCTATTCGTGGCAGCCAGCTATTAGCTCTCACTCTAGCCAGTAGAAAATGGCCGCAAGCTACATAAAAACTGCCGTAAATTTCAGCGATGAAAACAGGTTATACGATGTTTATCCAAGAAAAATAAAATCTATACAAAATCTCAAAATGTTTTGATATTTTCAGGACATATCTCACATACCCTACACAGTTGTTAAAATTTTAAAAGTTGTATTTTATGAATATTAAGTTTTTCTATCTTTTCTTTGCTACTTTAGACATTTCTAACCCAGCACGGGGGGAAGCGTTAAACTTGTATGCCAACAAAAATTCTATTTCAATAAACTCAGAAAGAAAACCGAAACAAATATCTTCGACAGAAAAGGACAATGAATGGATAATTTTAAATCATTACACCCCAAGCAAGGCAACAATGCCACTAAGACGTAAGGTGTTTACTGAGAGTGAAAGAGAATGAGGTGACTTTAGTTAGGAGAAAGGATATTCTTAATATTTGCTAAGTTGGCACCAGCGGCTGGTGTTCGAATTTCGGTAAACGCTAGGATTTGAGTAAGTTTCAAAGTACGCAAGCTAAAATTACTGAAATGTTAAGTAAAAAAATCTTTTCATCGCCACTTTTATTTTGCTATATTAGTCTAAGTTTATAAATTATCAAGTTTATTCGTCAATTAAGTATTAAGAATTCAAACGTTTATTTGCGGGTATATTTCTTTCTTTGCATTTGGCTGCAGCAATTGGAGAAGGCATAAATAATATATAAGTTGTTATTATGATTTGCTACGGGTGACTGAAACAGCTGCAGAAATATTGTCAACGTCAATTTACACAAAAGTAAAAGACAATTTTCAGTGGCCGTTCATCACGAAAATCACGCGATTTTAGATGACTCGCTCGAGAAGGATAAGGTCAGGTGATAGGAACAAAATTCTGTTCCAAACATTGTCGACTATCCTTTGGGTACCCCCCACCCCCCCACACATATGTATGTATGTATGTACACACCCACACACCCCATACACACACATACATATATATGTATGTATGTATGTACACACACACACACACACACACACACACACACACACACACACACACACATATATATATATATATATATATATATATATATATATATATATATATATATATATACTAGCAGCATGGACCGGCGTTGCCCGTGCTTGATTCAAAAATCGTACGACTCATACAGCAATCGCTATATTTTTGCCCTTCCTTGCCTTTAAAGAAGTGCCCTTTGCCGTGCTGATGTTGCTACATGTCTTACTTCTTGCCTCTCCCAGACTGCGAATTTTTTCTAAGCTCTATACTAAACATTAAATCTGTTACGAAAAAAGAACTAAACAAAATGAACACAAAACGATCAGCTTTAAAAAAGGACTCGTAACTGGAAAAACCGAATGAAAAAAGAATATTAACAACAAATTGTTCTTCACACCCAACCAAGTTCTGTGGAATCAGAATCAACATTGAGTTTAAGCAAGCGAATGAGACAATTGGATTAAAGTGCCATGCAGATTTAAATTTTTCCCACTTGTGACGAATGCATCTATCGATTTTTTTTGCATGCTAGCATGCTAGTTAACATTCGTGTCAGTCAGCTGTTGGCTCTCACGCTGGTCAATAGAATCTTCCTGCCTATTTTATAGGCTCTCACTCTGGCCAGTAGAAAATGGCCGCAAACTACATGGAAACTGCCGTAGAAGCATGAAAAAATCAATAATTTCCACTATCGATGGGAGTTGGGAAATGCAAAGTCGATGTTGGCTTTCCACTAACTTGGAGCATGTGCATGTAAATTCTGCTGCAAATCCGTCGAAAATTGCCGCTGTGCATTCGTTACACACACACACACACACACACACACACATGCTGCCTTTTATAGATAGAGATGACACAGTGTTGATAGTAGACACAGAAAGGAAACTATAGGATATTGTACAGAAGGTATTGAAGGAAAGCGAGAAGAAAGGACTAAACACCAACTTGAAGAAAACAGAATGAATGGTTATCGGCAAAAGAAACAACAGTAAATACAAATTCCAAATTGGAGATACTAAAATTAAACTAGTTATAAAATTGAAATATCTAGAAGGTGTTTTAACAGAGGATCGAATGCGTGACACCTAAATCCCAAAGCGTATTGGGATAACGAAAGACGCCTTCCAAACATTAAGCAAAGTATTAGGAAACAGGAAAATTTAATTAGAAACAGAGAAAATATTACAGAACTGCGATATAATATCGGTACATCAATATAGCAGTGAACACTAATCCCTAATCTCTAGACCGAGAAGACATCTGATGCAACAAAAGTGTGGTTCTAAAGAAAGATATTACGAATATTATGGACTGAAACGGCGAGAAAAGGTAAAGAAAAAAAAATACATATACGTAGCATCAGAAAGAGATAGTTGAAATTTCAAAGCCAAAAATTGAAGAAAGAGAGTTTGGAAAATTAGACACCCACAGGACATATTGAAATCAAGTGGGATAGAGGAAAGCAACGTATTAATCTATATAACGATCTTATGTTCGTCGTCGGCATCCACTCGCATAGGAGCATAGTCATTCTTTCTACCTATTTCCTTTCTCCCCCCACCCCTGGTGGCGGTGGCGGAGATGGTTCTGAAGGCCCAGCGTACTCCTGAAGAATCATGTGGGTGGTGGACGCAGTTAGGCAAGTCGATCCTTCCTGATAGTACCTAGAACACCCTCTTCATGTCGATAATTGAACTCGGCTCGAAAGTCTGATCACAGATGATCTTACGCCTGGCATGACAATTTGCAGCAACGGTTTCCCTGGTCTCATGGTCGATTTTGGCCTATGTCAAGGATGTCTTCAAGTGATTCTTGAAGCGTCGTTTTGGGCCTCCGTGAAGCTTCTTGATGCTCATGTGCTCTCCAGACAGGATGATATGTGGGACGTATTTACGAGCCTATATTGGATTTTGTTTAACGGCTTATCAACCTCTATGGGATTATTTAATGCCGAAATCTAAGTATTTTGAACGCAGGAAAAAATAATACGTATTTAGTCATTTTCCTATAAATAGGTATTGTTAGTAATTTTTATATAAAAATGTATTGCTCGTATTTTTACTATAAAAACGTACTTTTATAGATTCATAGTGTTTTTTTTTATTTATTTAGTGTTCACTTTTTAGTCAAATCTTGGACACTAACAGTTACTAGCACCTCTGGTCAGGGTGGATCTGAGAACAACAACAATATAGTGGTGGTTCCACGTTCCTCAAAACCACCAGTCTCCCGATCAGAGGCCTTGCTGCCGGATGTAGTTTATCGTCATACCCAGGACTACGAGCTTACGTTGGTTGGCAAATCAGGGATTAAGGGATATAGAAAAAGACAAAAGTTAAAAGGGATACAAATGACATGAAGCTGTGAAGAACCATGATAGTTTACGCCATGAAAAAGACCTGCGAATCCTGTAAGAAGCCGCAATTATTGAACACGCGACAAGGACCTTATCGTAAATGTAACCATAAATAAACCTTTTGCTCGCTGCTACATTTTTAAAAGTTTAGCTAACACAAGATTTTCAGTGATGGTCGCTTAGTGAGGTTCGAATTCTAATCACTGAATTTTTATGCGAGACAAGTGTTCGCGGCATCACACTACGGCAAAAGCGGGTGATGTATGTAATTAATGTCGCCTGGCATATAGCCACACGTTTCAGGCCCCCAGCGAGGACCGAACTATCCTATACAGGCCCTGATATGGAAAACTAGCTTGGTAACTATCCCTCTAGAGCAGGCGGGCAGCATGTCAGAAAACTTAACGTTTGAAAAGAGAAAAAGAAATTAAATTTTATTGATTTTGTTGACAGTAAGTTGTTTTACGATTGCTAATGGAAAATGTTAGAGGAAGTAGAAACAAAAGGCTTTTAGGAAAACTTGCCTCGTTTCTGCTTGGATTATCTGACTCTCTCTCTCTCTCTCTCTCTTTTTGCTGTGATTTTTCCTCTTTTTTCTTTCTTTCTTTCTCGCTCATTCTTAATATTCGGTCCTTATTTCATTTTTTTATGTAGCGATTTTGTCTCTCTTTCTTTTTTTGTTTATTTCTTTCTTTCCCGTTTCTAGCAAACCTTGTATTCTTTCATAAGTTCACTATTTGCTTTGTTTGTTTGTTTGTTTGTTTGTTTGTTTGTTTGTTTCTTTCTTTCTTTCTTTCTTTCTTTCTTTCTCGAATCTAGCAGACCTTGTCTTCTTTCATAAGTTCACAATCTAGTTACTTTCTTTGTTTATTTCTTTCTTTCTCGATTCTAGCAAACCTTGTCTTTCATACACTATTATTTTTCTTTCTAGTTTATATCAGCACTTCTTTTCTTTCATACTGTACCTATTTTTTAGTGCTTTCTTTGTTTCTTTCTTTCGTTGTTTCTTTCTTTTTTCTCATGAATAGCAGTACTTGTCTTCTTTTATACATTCACTATTTTCTTTCTTTCTTTCTTTCATTCTTTCTTCTAGCAGTCCTTGTCTTCTTCAATACATTCACTTCTTTCTTTCTTTTTCTTTCTTTCTTTCTTTCTTTCTTTCTTTCTTTCTTCTAGCAGTCCTTGTTTTCCTTCATACATTCACTATTCTTTCTTTCTTTCTTTCTTTCTTTCTTTCTTTCTTCTAGCAGTCCTTGTCTTCTTCAATACATTCACTTCTTTCTTTCTTTCTTTCTTTCTTTTTCTTTCTTTCTTTCTTCTTCTAGCAGTCCTTGTTTCTTCTTTTTTACTTTCACTTCTTTCTTTCTTTTTTCTTTTCTTTTCTTTCTTTCTTTCTTTCTTTCTTTCTTTCTTTCTTTCTCGTTTATAACATTCTTTTCGTCCTTCATACATTAAATAGTTTTCTTTCTTTTTCATTTATGGCATTTTTTTCATCTTTCAATAAATTCATTATTTTCTTTCTTGTTTTCTCCTTATTTCTCGTTCGTAAAAGTTATTTGCATCTTTCATCCATTTAATAGTTTCTTTCTTTCTCGTTTATAGCATTTTTCTTCTTTCACGCATTCACTTTTCTCTCTTTCTCTCTTTTTTCCCTCGTTCATCGCATTCTTTTTTTTATTTCATACATCCACTTTTTTCGTCATTTCTTTCCCGTTTATAGAAGTCCACGTCTTCCTTTATAGAGTCACAGTTTCTACGGATCAAAATCTATTTTGATATTCTGGAAGCATTAAAGAAAAAAAAAGGGTGTATGTTCCTCCAACCTGCTTGCTATGTTCGCAAATAATATCATATTGCACGCTTTCATGACTTGTTTTATTAAAAGACTGAAGGAAAAGCGAAGTATTTATGCATAAACCCCGTCTGCATACCCGTGTCTGAAGAAGAATCTTGTTTGTAACAATACATATCGACTGATATCTAGAATTTCGACGGTTCGGTACGAAAAGTACAAAAAACAAAAAACAAAACAAAACAAACTGAATGACAAGTTGGATTAATAGACTGTCAGGTTTCGTTTGTAAATTCGAATAAGTTGCTTTCTTTTATTTAATAAAGAAAATCTGGCGACAAAACTAATTAATATGGACAGAAAGAAAATAGACGTTCTGAAGTATACTATTTTGGCGCTCAGTTTTATATTGAGATATTTATTACGGTTAACTTGATTAACCCTGTCTCTCTCTTGCGGATATTGTGCACTTACCTATAAATATACCATACTTAAAAACTATATTTTTATCATATATATCAAACAGTATATTTATTTATTTATTTATTTATTATCACCTACAGGATAAACGGAGCCTGTACTCAAATACAAATATTCGTCTAAAGTGATAAAAATCTATTTGATTAATCTTTGGAGTCATGCGTTCCTGAACAATTTTAACCCTTCCAAGTATGGCACGCTATCATCGTCCAGAATTCTCTCGCCTCTATATCGTCCTCACGGCTAGAATTCGCCATGCCACGAACATATTGAAGTGAACCATCCACCTAATCTTCATATTCCATTAGTGAAATGTAAGTTCCACTCAGGGACGTCTGCCTTGTGGAACCGACTCCCAAGAGATTGCTTTCCCGATCACTATAATCTTAACCTGTCCAAGTCTATGATTAGCCGTTATGTACCTCTTACTCTGTAACCCTTTACGTCGTGTGGCCCCCGGGCCTTGTACAAGGTGAACACCACTGTAAAAAAGAAATTACTTTTTTTAGTCTTTGTCACTTGATAACAAACATTTCGGATTCATTAGGTCTTCTCTTTAACACTTTGAGCACTGCGTTCCTGAACAATTTTAACCTTTCTGCCTGAGCTCCTGAGTCAAAATTCGTTAATAATTGGTATTTGATGTTTCACTGTAGATATAAAAATAGTTACAAAAAATATAAGCATTATTCTTAGAGGGAGACGGTGTTATTGCATACCTTCACTTTATCGCCTGAATTCTTTCTTTGTGTGCCAGTCTACCCAGCAAGTGCTGCCTCTCTTGTGGCACAAGAATAGCAAAACTCGACGGAAGTGTTTATCCATTATTCAAATCATGACTGGGCATTAAGTCACTTTTCTCTACCACCGATAAAGCAGCGGTCAAGGATGAAAGAGTTAATAAAAATTCATTTGAAGAAATTTTCTTTGTTTATGTTTGGATGAGAAACTGCGTGAAGATATGAAAAACTTAGAGAGATAATTGGCAAGAGATATTCATATAAAAGGATGAAATTTGGCGACGTCTGGACGTCTGTCTCTTCGTGTCCAAAGCGGTATAGGCACACCGGGTTAAATGTGATCTCGCCCCTCTCTGAGAGGTGCAGGTGCGTTTCCTGCTGAAGAACCATTTTTTTTCTTCAGTAAGATTTCATTAATTTTCAAGCCCCTAGATAAAAATAAATGAATTTACTGTTTGATGTATAAACGGACCGCTTACTGAAATACGAGTATCCACTAATAATAGTGTTTAAAGTAATAAAAAATTTGTCAGATTAAAAAAATGCACTCTTTTATATATATATATATATATATATATATATATATATATATATATATATTCCTGAAAAATTAATTTCAGTTGAGCTCTCTGTGGAAGAGGTGTGGGTTTGTAAATAGTGACTATTATGGCTGATATAGCGAGACTCTTCGGCAAAAGCGAATTGAGTCACTGTCGGTCACTGTGTGTGTTTATCTAAAAATAAATACGGCTTAGTGATAGAATCTCCGGCTGACACCAATTCAGTCGGGTTTCGATCCTAGCTAGAGGCAACTGGATGTCTAGCCACACTGAAGAGCGGCGAAACAGTCTGTCTGTGGATGACTTTTATATAAATAAATATTTATATATAAATATATATATATATATATATATATATATAGACATTAATTTCTCATGCATAATACGTATTTCTTCTAAAAAAAATAATAAGCAACATTAGGAGTGCGCATTATGCACAGCTACAAATATTCTTAAAAATTGCCGTTTCATAGGTCGATTTCAATTGCGAAAGGACTATTCACCACAAACACGAAAATTTGACAGTAACATTCGGCGATTGCGAGCTCATAAGGATGGGGAATACAATCATATGTACATAACAAAACTTACAAATTTAAAATAAAATAAGATTTATCATAAAATAAATAATATTATTCTCTGCTCAAAACCGCTTTTTCTGTGAAAAAACTTCATACAGATCTGTTATATTGCACATTTTATCGAATAAAAACAGAAAATGAGTCTGCGCAGTAGGCACAATATAGGTATTTCCGTTTCCTTTTAGAATCGTGATGATCGGAAATTTTGATAAATATCTTCAATTACAGCATGAATAAGAGGAGGTAACATTGATTGTAATGAAATTTGAGAGGTAAAATTTATATGGTTTGATTAGCAAACAAGGACTGCGTATTATGCGTGAGTAGAAGCATTTTAGGTATGAGTATTATATATGAAGGCATATTATATATGGGGAATTACGGCATATATATATATATATATATATATATATATATATATATATATATATATAAAAGGCAGGATGTGTGTGTAACGAATGCACGGCCGCAATTTTCGACGGATTTGCAGCAAAATTTACATGCTCATACTCCAAGTTAGCGGGAAGGCCAAGATCGACTTTGCATTTCCCAACTCCCATCGATAGTGGAAGTAATCGATTTTTTCATGCTTCTACGGCAGTTTTCATGTGGTTTGCGGCCATTTTCTACTGGCCAGAGTGAGAGCCTATAAAATAGGCAGGAAGATTCTATTGACCAGCGTGAGAGCCAACAGCTGACTGACATTAATGTTAACTAGCATGCTAGCATGCAAAAAAATCGATAGCTGCATTCGTCAAAAGTGGGAAAAATTTAAATCTGCATGGCACTTTACTCCAATTGTCTCATTCGCTTGCTTAAACTCAACGTTGATTCTGATTCCGCAGAACTGAGTTGGGTGTGAAAAAGTATTTGTTGTTAACATTCTTTTTTCATTCGGTTTTTCCAGTTAAGAGTTCTTTTTTTAAACTGATAGTTTTGTGTTCATTTGAGTTCAGTTCTTTTTTCGTAACAGATTTAATGTTTAGTATAGCCTTAGAAAAAATTCGCTGTGTGAGATAGGCAAGAAGTAAGGCATGTAGCAACATCAGCACGGCAAAGGGCACTCCTTTAAAGGCAAGGAAGGGCAAAAATATTTTAAGTCAAGTGATAGCGATTGCTGTATGGGTCAGACGATTTTTGAATCAAGCACGGGCAACACCGGGCCATGTTGCTAGTCAGTATTAAGTTTAATATAATCTAATTTCACAAATGAAACATTTTCAATTCCTAATATTTTTTATGATATGTCATTTCTGTTTAATCCCATTAGTAATTGTCTTGAAGGATTTCTTAGATGGTAACTCGTTAATTATTATTACTTTTTTATTTCTAATTCTATTATATGTTGCTAAGATTGTTAGACAACAGTATGTGTGCGGAAAAGAAAGTTGTCTCAAGCGAGCCTCGAACATTCGGTAGCCTGTCTTTTCATGATCCCTACCTTATTTTAAGTCAAGTGGTAGCGATTGCTGTATGAGTCGTACGATTTTTGAATGAAGCACGGGCGAACCGGACACATAGCATATATATATATATATATATATATATATATATATATATATATATATATATATATATATATGTATGTATGTATGTGTGTGTGTGTATACATATATATATATATATATATATTGCTGATTGATTCTATGCGTGATTATTTCTTTGTATATAAATTATATGCTGCCTAATGTTTCATGTTTATAAAAACTATCGATCCGCAGTACAAAAAAATTCCAATAAAAAACTACTACTAAGACATAACACTAAATTAATTGAACTATATACTTAGTTCATGGCATATGAACTGAAAACATTTGTAAAAAAAGAATACGTGGATTTACCACATCACAAGAAAAGTTCAAATCAAATTCTCACTTCAAATTTTGAAAAACTTAGCGTTGCGTCTTTGCACGTTCCGATATTGTACAGATCCGTCAATAATAGCACATTCTCAAAAAAAACATCTTTCGGTCGACAAACAATTATTTCGTCTTCAAGTTTTTGATTTTATAAGGAAAAGATATGCCTGACGATGAATAAAGGATTATTCGAAAGTACTTGCATTTTAAAAAAATATAAACTGGAAACAAAAGACAACAGTTTTATAAATGAGGATCACATCACTCTATGGATTAACATTATTTTAATGCATACATTATATTCTACTAGCGATGTGATATCGCCAATAATAGCATTAATATTGCTGATTGATTCTATGCGTGATTATTTCTTTGTATATGCTGCCTAATATTTTATGTTTAATATATATATATATATATATATATATATATATGTGTGTGTGTGTGTGTGTGTGTGTGTTTGTGTGTATGTATGTGTGTACCGAAAGTGATAGTCGACAATGTTTGGAACAGAATTTTGTTCCTATCGCCTGAATTTTATTCCTTCTCGAGCGTGTTATCTAAAATCGGGTGATTTTCGTGATGAACGGCCACTGAAAATTGTCTTTTACTTTAGTGTAAATTGACGTTGACAATATTTCTGCAGCTGTTTCAGTCACCCGTAGCAAATCATAATAACAACTTATATATTATTTATGCCTTCTCCAATTGCTGCAGCCAAATGCAAAGAAAGAAATATACCCGCAAATAAACGTTTGAATTCTTAATACTTAATTGACGAATAAACTTTATAATTTATAAACTTAGTCTAATATAGCAAAATAAAAGTGGCGATGAAAAGATTTTTTACTTAACATTTCAGTAATTTTAGCTTGCGTACTTTGAAACTTACTCAAATCCTAGCGTTTACCGAAATTCGAACACCAGCTGCTGGTGCCAACTTAGCAAATATTAAGAATGTCCTTTCTCCTAACTAAAGTCAACTCATTCTCTTTCACTCTCAGTAAACACCTTACGTCTTAGTGGCATTGTTGCCTTGCTTGGGGTGTAATGATTTAAAATTATCCATTCATTGTCCTTTTCTGTCGAAGATATTTGTTTCGGTTTTCTTTCTGAGTTTATTGGAATAGAATTTTTGTTTGCATACATGTTTACCCCCCCACCCCTGTCCCGGGTTAGAAATGTCTAAAGTAGCTGAGAAATGAAGGAAAAACTTAATATTCATAAAATACAACTTTTAAAATTTCAACAACTGTGTAGGGTATGTGAGATATGCCCTGAAAATATCCAAACATTTTGAGATTTTGTATAGATTTTATTTTTCTTGGGTAAACATCGAATAACCTGTTTTCATCGCTGAAATCCATCTTTGTCTCTCTAAGGTTTCTGGCTCTTCCCGGAGCTAAAACCGCCATTGGAAAAAGGGATTTCCGGTCAACGACGACATTAATAAAAGCAGAGCAAAGTATTTGATGATGTCCCGAAAGTAGACTTAGAAGAGAAAGGGACTGTTGTATAAGTATGTGAAATCCTAATGGATGCCATTTGAACAGGGCGAAGTCGTCTGCCAAAAGTAGGTTAATTCTTGCTAATATTAAATAAATAAATCTCTTTCTAGACAGACCCTGTGTTTCTCCAGTGCACCGTACAAACGATCTTCCAAAATAAGGAACTTTTGTGGGAAATATCGATCATTATTTATTGATTTCACTATTGCGTTGTTTCAATATACTTTTGTTTTGATTTTGTACGAATCCATGTCAGATCTAGCACTTCCAATATATATATATATATATATATATATATATATATAGAGAGAGAGAGAGAGAGAGAGAGAGTGAGAGAGAGAGAGAGAGAAATAGAAGGAGTGAGGTAGAGAAAAGAGAGAGAGTGTTAGCGCTGAAAAAGGAGAGAAAGAGAAAGAGAGTGAGAAAGAGAAGGGAGTGAGAAATAGAGAGAGTGATAGAGAAAGTGAGAGATAGAAATAGATAGATAGATAGTGTGAGAGAGAAAGAGATAGATAGATAGATAGTGTGAGAGAGAAAGAGATAGATAGAAAGAATTGTAGTGAGAATGAGAAAGAGTGAGAGAGAGAAAGAAAGAGTGAATGAGACAGAATGAGAGAGAAAAGAGTGAGAGATAGAAAGAGAGATAGTGAGAGAGAATGAGAGAGAAAATGAGAGAGTGAGCGAGGAAGTGAGACAGAAAGAGAGAGAGAAAATAAAGAATGGAAGAGAGAGAGAAAGGAAAAGCGAAATAGAGAGAGTTAAAAGAGAGAGAGAGAGAGTGAGAAAGAGAAACACAGTTTGAGAGAGATAGAGAAATGATAAAAGAACAGTTAAAAGAGAAATGAAAAAGAGAGAAAGAAAGGCCATGAAATCTAAACAGATTTAAAGAAAAAGAGAGAAAAAGAATGAACGAAAAGAAGTGGTGGAAAAGAGAGAGAGAGACAGAGAAAGAGAGAGAGACAGAGAGAGAGGGAGAGAGAGAGAGAAATAACATTTCGGAAATAGGCAATGCGTTTTATGCCTGAAGTCATTATGGGTGGACACCCTTGAAGGTGAGATGAATCAATGAGACGAAGAACATAAAAGTCGCCTGACGACTACAAACAGCCTTCCCCAATTTAATAGTCCACAAAAAAGGATAACAAGACAAAAACGAACGCGGGAATTCATTAGTTACTAAGAACTATCTGGAAAGATATAGAATAAGAGAACCAGACACTGGTGAACGATTACGCGTCAGGACCAAAAAATAGACTCAATGTAGTCAACACACATTTCTGGCACAATCGCTTCGGGCCCAGAATCTTATTAGAGGGGAGTTTCTTTCTTTTTTTTTTTTTTTTTTCAAAAGACCAGATTTTTTCACTTACAGAATTAGTAGCATTTCAATCTAAATTCATTGATTTTCTATTAGACTCTGACAAGGTTGAGTTCGGCGGTAACAGCTTCTCGATGAAGCTATTGATGTAAATGAGAAATCTATGTAAGGGGGACTTTGTAAAACAACTATTCCTGCCGCACAAAATTTTCTATCGTTATTTATGATATCCAGTAATGAGTTGAATTCAATAATGACCATACCCGCAAGCGCGGACACACACACACAAACACAACACACACACACACACACACACACATATATATATATATATATATATATATATATATATATATATATATATATATATAAGGCAGGATGTCTGTGTGTGTGTGTGTGTGTTTGTGTAACGAATGCACGGCCGTAATTTTCGACGGATTTGCACCAAAATTTACATGCACATGCTCAAAGTTAGTGGAAAGGACAAGACCGACTTTGCATTTCCCAACTCCCATCGATAGTGGAAATAATCGATTTTTTCATGCTTCTACGGCAGTTTTAATGTAGTTTGCGGCCATTTTCTACTAGCCAGCGTGAGAGCCAACAGCTGACTGTCACGAATGTTAAGTAGCATGCTGGCATGCAAAAAAAAAATTCGATAGGTACATTCGTCACAAGTGGGAAAAATTTAACTCTGCATGGCACTTTACTCGAATTGTTTCATTCGTTTGCTTAAACTCAACATTGATTCTGATTCCGCAGAACTTGGTTCGGTGTGAAAAAGTATTTGTTGTTAACATTCTTTTTTCATTCGGTTTTTCCAGTTACGAGTCCTTTTTTTAAAGCTGATCGTTTTGTGTTCATTTTGCTTAGTTCTTTTTTCGTAACAGATTTAATGTTTAGAATAGAGCTTAGAAAAAATTCGCAGTGTGAGATAGGCAAGAAGTAAGGCATGTAGCAACATCAGCACGGCAAAGGGCACTCCTTTAAAAGGAAGGAAGTGGCAAAAAATATTTTAAGTGAAGTGATAGCGATTGCTGTATGAGTCGTACGATTTTTGAATCAAGCACGGGCAACGCTGGGGCATGCCACTATATATATATATATATATATATATATATATATATATATATATATATATATATATATATATATATATATGTATATATATATGTGATAAAATATAGTTTCAAGGTGTAGTATATTTATGGGTTAATGTGCTGAATGTCAAGAATAGAATGTAAATAAATATAAACATGTTGAAGTCAACACCCAGTAGTGACAATCTGTTTCATGCTTAAACGCATTTATCAGGCTTGACAATTGCGTATATATATATATATATATATATATATATATATATATATATATATATATATTACAAAGAAGAGAGAAACCACAAACGTTTTTGGTCGCAATGTGTATTTTTAAAGAAATATAAATATTATGCTTTATTTTGCATAATTTTGCAACACGTGTTTCAGGTCTCTCGAATTTCTTCAGGCAAAGCGTAGATATTTCCACATATTATTAAAATGAATTAATTTTCCTTATGTTTTTCGATGTTTAAACGTACTTTTTTGTGTGGTAGTGACACAAATGTCTTTCTTGAACTGGATATATATATATATATATATATATATATATATATATATATGTGTGTGTGTGTGTGTGTGTGTGTGTGTGTGTGTGTTAATGTGTGTGCCCATAGTGATAGTGGACAAAGTTTGGCGCAGGATTGCGTTACTATCGCTTTGGCAAATACGTTATTTTTTCCTCTGGACCTGATCCGTCTTTAGTGAAATGGAAGTTTGTTGTCTGGAGTTCAGATCTCTAGATTTCCATTGATGTCTCCGATATATAAAAGCCATTTAAAATTTGTACAACACTGAGAAGTTATTTATTTTTACACTAATGAAAGCAGTAGAAAACATTTATCAAGAACGTTCTCCTTCAATTTATTCTATAACTATTAAGAAGTATTTATTCCCGAATTATTTCAATTATCTACAATAGTAAGATTTCCACACCCGACCATTTACATCTGTGCTATTCGATTGATTGACTTGCATTTTACAGCTTATAAACCATTTGCAGGTTATTTAAAGCCAGAAAATATTTTTAGATTGTAAGAATTTTGTAGAAATAATAATGATTTATTCACAGACGTCCTACTAATTAACCCATAGCTGAGGAGAGAAAAGATGGATACATATCTTTCCCAAGGGTATTTGCGTGTAAGTGAATATGACGATACCAACTGGAATAGGAATTCGGCTCTGCGATTTCCAATTCCGAGCCGTTATCAATCACACCACCCGCACATCCAAGTTTACAGAGCGTGGTATTGGCAAACGGACATCAATATAGGTACCGATCAGGCTCGTCGCTGTTAGACCTCAGCGATCGTAGGAGAACCGGTGTTGCAACGTGATATGGCTGTAAGTCTACATCAGTGCATTGAAGCAGGGTTACATTTCGAGTTAAAATATAATGCAAGATATTTCTCTAGATTTGTTGCCCCTGAATATAAGATGCTTTTTTTTATCTTTTTATCTGGATCCCAAGATCGCTGCACAATTGTTAGTGAGAGAGAGACTTAAAAAGAATTTGGTACCTCCTGAAGGAATGGTTGCAGTTCATTTTTAGAACAAATTCCTCATCTTTCGCTGTAACTTATTTTACCACTGAATGAATTTCTATATAATCAAGATTATCATGTGGATTAGGGATTCGTAAATCAGATCAGTGGGCACGGGTTTTACAGCTAATGGAAGGATTTGGAAAAGGGATTAGTTTCTGGTTCTTTTTCTTGCATCCTGGGATTTTCAAGAAACAAAATAGCAATCGTTTCTATGAAATTCGGTTTCCTTCGGGAGAACTGTAATTCCAAATTCAAGAGCTTTCCCTTTACCATTTCTCCATTGTTTTAGTTGCTCGACACAAACATGGGGTAGAAGAGAGAGGGACCTGTTGTTTTCTTGGGAATTATGCGTAATATATATTTTAAAGAAAATATGCTCGAATTTATTGTAATATGAGGACTCCTTCTTACATTTTATCGGTATGGCTGATGCTAACCTTCGGGAGATTGACACGTTACACCTTCTCGGGTTATCATGCTCGGCTGACATGGAAAGTCTATATTAAATCCATTGCAGGGTCAGCTGATAGAAAAGTTGTGGTGCTAGACATTTTTTCTCTTCCAGAATCTATATTACATATCTATAAGTCTACCATTCGTCCATACTTAGAATATTGCTGTCAGATATGGCCCGACGGTCTTGCATTATATATTTAGAGATTCTTAGCAAAATCCAAAGAAGAATCAGCAATGTTATTGGTCCTGATCTGGCGTCTCGGCTTCAGTAACTTTCCTAACGCCGTAAAGTTGCCTCTTTGTGCCTTTTCTATAAATACTTTCATGGTAATTGTTCGGATGAGGTCTTCGCTATGATAGACTTTTAAAATTTAAACGCAGTACTAGGATGGCGAGGTGGTCTCATCAATTTACAGCCGAGTTTGCTGGGTGATAACGTAAGGTCTATTTTGACTGTTTATTTTCTCGCACTTCTTGCTTGTACATTTGTCTTCCGGCTCTATACTTTTCAGCCAACTTTGATCTTCAAAAATTTAAATGCAATTTCAATTGTTATCTACTGTCTTTTTTGTTGTTATTCTATTGTTCTCGCTCCTTAGTAATTCTTCCACACCCAGTAACCGCCCCCCTGTATCTTAGTGGCTTTACTGCCTTGGTTGGGGTGAACTCGATTAAAAAGAATTATCGGTATTATTTGGAATAACAAGCTCAACTTAGCTTTTTCGAATTTTGAAATTATCCCTTTAATAAATCGTCGGTGGTAGACTGTTTTTATTCGGCTTTTAATGTCTAAGGGGAGATAACTCATAACAGCAAATTAGCTTTCAACCGTTGTTTCGTTTGTCTGTTTGAATCAGGTTATATGACATTTCAGAACTACGCTTCGTACTTATAACCTTCACAAAAAAGGGGTTTGGATCGGTATTCAGAGAACTTTACCGAATAGCAAAATAAACACATGAGGAACGCTGGAGAGTAGAACGGTTGAAACGTTGTGAGGCTAACAAGCAAGATTATCATGCTGTTTCGAATAAAAAAAGGTATAAAATCCGTTAGATTCTTAGTTATTTTTTAAAAGAATTTTTCACTTATGTAAAACGAAATACTAAGGTTATACGATCTCAAGACGACATCAATATCCTCGTTTCCAATATAACAATATACTGTAAAATATAATATCATTGTTATCTTCAGTAAATCGACAATGATTTATATCACAATGTGTGTATATGAGAAAATAACATCTGTTTATATTTCTGAGATGAGGTATTATGTACATTATTTACATTATTCGGACTATTGTCCTCATCTTTGTCGCCATATTTATTACAACTTTTCGGCCGTTGTACGCGCCGGCCTTCTTCAGGTGGTTGGAATGTCGAACTGAACCCTTTATTTCGCTTACTGGGGTAGACTGTTCTAGTTCCACGTGCCATGTCTAATGGATGTCAGTTATCTCATGTTAATTCCCCTCTGAAATTTCTCCACTGCCTTAACCAGGTATTGAACTCACACTTTTTGTAACATCTACCCTGGGTACATGGCAGCAGCACCAGAAAACTGAGATAGGCGGGTA